GGAGAGGAAGAGGAAAAGGGAGAGAGAAGGAGGTAGAGGAAGAGGGTGAGGAAGAAGGAGAAGCAGACGGAGAGGGAGGAGGTATGGGGAGGGGAAGCCGTGGAAGCCAGGGAGGGGCGCTGAGGATGGAGGGAGAGAGAGGGAGAGGAGGAGAAAGAGGGAGGTATGGGGAAAGAGAGAGAGGAAGAGGGTGAGGAAGAAGGAGAGAGCAGACGGAGAGGGAGGAGGTATGGGAGGGAAGCCGTGGAAGCCAGGGAGGGCGCTGAGGATGGAGGGAGAGAGAGGGAGAGAGAAAGAGGAGGTATGGGGAAAGAGGAAGAGGGAGAGGAGGAGGTATAGAGAGGAGAGGGAGGAGAATGGGGAGGGATGCGTGGAAGCCAGGAGGGGCGCTGAGGATGGAGGAGAGAGAGGAGAGGAGAAAGAGGAGGTATGGGGAAAGAGGAAGAGGGAGAGAGGAGGTATAGAGAGGAGAGGAGGAGGAATGGGAGGGATGCCGTGGAAGCCAGGGAGGGCGCTGAGGGGGGGAGAGAGGGAGAGGGAGAGGGAGAGGAGTATGGGGAAGAGAGGAAGGAGAGGGAGGAGGTGCGGGGAGGGGAAGAGGAAGAGAGGAGATATGGGAAGGGAGATGGAGAGAAGAGAGAGAGAGAGAGAAAGAGAGAGAGAATAAGGAAGAGGAAAGGATTGGCAAAAAAAAATTGCCTATTGTGTTCTCATAATTATTCGGTGTACCTATTACTGACAAACAGAAGATTTCAAAAAAAAAATTCGGTGTACCTGTCATTGACAAATAGATTTAAAAAAAATAAAGTAAATTAAAAGAAAATGTCGTTTTTCTCTTTCTTTCCTCTATAGAAAAAAAATATTCCCTGATATCACTGTACAGTTAACTTTTACTTCAATAATCATAAAGTATAAAAAAACACAAAGAAAAATAATTGTGATATTACGTTTCTTCTGACTACTGTATTTTATCAGTTGCCTATTTGTGATCCAAATTAAGTGATCCAAAGAATAAAGAATCTAATATCTATGAGCTGTTTTATGTCAGGATTTGATTATTAATACTTCACCGTGACTGTAAAATGTTAAAACATGAAGACAAGTTAAAACCTTATTTTTCGCTTCCCTAAGTAAAGTTACCCGTTAAAATTTGCACTGAACGAATAATCGAACAGTGATGATCATTTTTTATATTTATATTGAAGTTACTGTTATTTTTTATTCGTGAATCTTAATCTTCCTTCTTCGGTAAGAATCGAAAAGGCTAATTATGATTTATCTTCATATCGAAATTACTTCTATTTTCAGCGTAAGTGAAAATTGGATCAGCTGTTCCGTAGATTTTACTCGCGCACCAAGACTAAAATCCTCACTTGAATGATAGACAGAAATTTCGATGCTTATTTTAAAAAGTAATAAACAAGTAATACATTTGAAAAACAGATGGATAGATAAATGCACATGATATTAGATATATGACTTTTTTTCTACTCTTTGCCCTCAAGTTATGTAATAATCTTTACCAGTATCATTCGAATCGTTTTGGCTTCGTGTTATCATCACCAATACAGGTCGTAAGATACCTGTTTGTTCGTGTTTTGTTTTCTTATCTGTAGAAAGCTGTTGGCTGATCTCAGTACGTTAACTACGCATTTATTGTTTACTAAACATTCTTAAGGCGATAGTGATTAAAGTTGATATTCTTAAAGTAAATCGGGTCAGATTCTTCCGGTTCTTTTCCCCCTTCATCTCTTGCGAAGGTTAGTTCTTGTAAGACACTATTTTTAATAATAGAGGTACTTTATATAAGCTTAAAAGGGAGATTTCTTTTAAAAGCATCTTTATGGGAAAACTAATGGAATATTCAGTAATAGAAGTACTTTCTATAAGCTTAAAAGGGATATTTCTTTATCTGGTCAGTAGTGTGAACCGTCTACATTTCTTGTTTATTATCATCGTAGGTAGACCGTTTTACATGCTTTAAGTCATTAAAAGCTGAATATTCTGGAACAAAGATGTCTCCACTACAACCTATTTTAATGTCATTTTCCTGTTCAATTGAGTCTTTAGCGGGAATTCAGTCTCAGAATTCTCAATCAGAAAGACAGAGCAAATTTGTCTCAGACACTCTGGTAAAGCCCATACTGATGTCTTCATAAAATGAGATCTGCTTAGAAAAAAAAAAATGAATATATGAATTATCGGCAATTATTTCTTATCCTGTTTAAAGCAGACCTTTTATCTTGGAAACTAAATAGTCATTTACCGGCGAGAAACTTTTATTTTTGTAATTGAAACGTGTTGCAGGTTCCCTTCAAGCAGGCGGAGCAAGGGGGGGGTGTCTATCTTGACTACAGTCCCTACTGAGCGATACAAGTTTTTCGGGGATAATATTAATCGTAATATATATCTTCAAAAATGAGAGTAGATACTTAATCAAAAGAGCAAAACAATACAACGTTCATCTATCTATATAAGAAAAAAAATAAACTCAAAATATAAGAGCATAATCTTAATCTTCAATTCTTATAAGTTTTTAGAGCAACAATACTTAATCAAAAGAGCAAAACAATACAACGTTCATCTATCTATATAAGAAAAAAAATAAACTCAAAATATACCATCTCGCTACATTCTGCAGTATGTTCTAACACATTGTGTTTAATTTGCCACAGTTGGACAGAAACTCTTCTTGCAGTCTGACATAGTAAATTGCACATTCATAATCCATGCAACTTTTCTGTCATTACTCGTATAATCACTTGAAGAAAAAAGTCGAATAGATGTACCACGTGACCCAGCCTTCCCTTGTTATGCATGCCCTTATATGGCACGCCTCCACAGACATACGAATGTGCACACTAAGCCCATTTATTTCTCTTAAATATGATACCAAACTGTTAAAAGGAGATGAATAGATACTTTGGTCTAAACCGTAGGTATCGAAATATGTAAGGTAGTCATGCTGGTTAGGGAAATAAACCCAGTGACCCATTTTACTTTTTTTTCCTTTTTTTGAGAACATTAACTGTTGCAAAATGTAGAACCGATCCTCTCACGTGTTCTTCAATTAGGTTAACTCGTTCAGTTGCTAAGAATCCCAAGTAGACTGAATTAAAGGTGTAATTTTTCTGATTACAAATACGATATTCATCAAGACGATTCATCCTCAAACATCAATGGAGATAGCTCTATTCTTGTCAATAAACAAAACTCCCTGTGTTTCCGCGAAGAGAAGACATACAATATTAACCGCCTGGAACTCGTCAGATGTTATCTCTAGTCTCAGAGAAGTTACTGGGGTGTTAGATCTAAAGTTATAATCGCCCTTTCCTTCTCAAGGATTTTTTTTCTTTTTGTTTATCTTTGTTAGTCCCAGTGTTTGAAGCGTTTGATACAGCTGATTGGTTCCGCGAGGAAATGCGCGGGAATTATTATAAACAACATTATTATCTGCGCGGGAAACATTATAAACACATTATCTGCGCGGGAAACATTATAAACATTATCTGCGCGGGCGCGGGAAACATTATAAACATTATTATCTGCGCGGGAAACATTATAAACTATTATCTGCGCGGGAAACATTATAAACAAGCGCGGGCGCGGGAAACATTATAAACAACATTATTATCTGCGCGGGAAACATTATAAACATTATTATCTGTTGCTGTCAAGCGCGTGAGATCAGTGTCTAGAATAGAGTGCGTTTTTTGTATAGCTTACTCCAAAGGCGAATGAATCTATGAAATCTTGAGGCATTAGGTTATTAAAGAGCTCATTTCTATGGAAAGATGGCGCTGTCAGCACGTATGGGCGATGCGTTGTCCTGTATAGGCCTATGCTTATGGTTATGAAATTCGAGTCGGATAATAACAACCTTATCCATCATAAACTGGATAATTCTATTCATTCTCCGATAACGAACTGAAAAAGTCTGTTGCGGAAGTTTCGGGCACGTCCTGTCCCTCGTGGTCGTTATAGAGAAAGATATTTTGTAGGAGAATGTCGATCTTGGAGGGAGAGACCCTTAAGAGATGCATATAAGACATACACTTATAGACAGGCACGTGTTCGACCTGTCTCCCATTTACTAAACTAAGACAGTTCTATACATAGAATAGAGGAGAACATTAGACGGCAATATTTCCTCCTCTGCCTCGGTGTTGGAATTTCGTTCAACTCGACGACCTTGACCTTCACCTCGAGTGGCAGAGTTTGAAAAGTCTGTCAAACGACCATTTGTTGGCGGTATTTGGAATTTGCAGTAATGTTCTTACGGAATGTTGTTTCCGCTGGCATTTGCCGCCAATGCTATTTCATTGTATTTACTTTCTATGGGAGGTTCTTTTTATCATCTATTATTATCATTATCATCATTTTATTATTGTTTTTATTATGTTGTTTTTCTGGCGCGCGGGAACATTTCACTGAGACCGCACACATAATTGGTGAAAGGCACAACTAAATCATTAATTCCCTGCTTGCGTTTGGCTCATCCCCGACAAGCTCTACATCTCACGACGTCTATCCCTAATCTGCCGAAAGGTTATCAAAACTATCCCTTTCATACCTCTTCGCTCCGCGTCTAGATGTAGTCATCTTTTTTTTTTTTCTTCTTCTTTTTACACTCCGTTTTCGTGTCCTCTTCTCTTCCCTCCCAACACTCGCCATTTCCAGCGACACTAAACAGACCCAATTCCTCTTGAAAAAAAAACAGGTGACTCGGAGGCTCGTATACCAGCAAATAGATGGTTAGAGATACATATCCATCAGATATATAGACAGATATGCCTTTATTTTTGAATCTATATTTATGAAGATTCATCGGGTCGGGCCTGGCACAATTTTAACAAACCGGCTGCTTAGTGACATCACTTTTACCATCGGCATCATATTACTTTTAATTTAGCATTCTTCCAACTTGACTGTTTTAATGTATCAAAGAAAAGTGCGGAATTCAGTAACTTCGGGCTGCAAAGAGTTGGTCCTCATGACTG